TTGTCATCCCATTAACAATAATGTGCTTTCTACTTTGCCGTTCTCAGTAAGGAGGAATAATAATGAATAATGGATTTTTGTCGAAGACACTTGTGCTTCACAACAACGTACCTGACTTCCGGGCAGCATTTTTTATGTGCTGCACCTTTGGCTCACCTAAATTCTTAGGAATGTTGTCAAAACTGCTTCTCACTTTATATTGTTATGATATTTTTCTCGAAAAATCCCGGTTTCGTAGACGACCAAAAATTTGTCTCTGTCAGTCATGTGGTCTAAACTCTGGCATGTTTCACTCCATAGATCATGCACATACAATACGTCATTTGGGTGGTTAAACGGATCAGCACGTGTTTGACGCTGGTAGAAAAGATAATGGAAACTTGGCGAAATACACGCATTTGCAAACATATTTGGTATTGTAGGAGACTCATCTGATACCCAGTGAAGCTTTTATCCGCACGTGCAGGTAGCGCACAATGGGAAGATGGTCGACACTATTTAACTACTTTAAGCTTAATCAGAGTTGAGTTTTGGACTCCGCAGCTCTCCGGACGCCGACATTTTCTCTACAGTTTGGGCGCCGTTTGCCATTTATCCCAGGATACATACACATCGGTGTGATTAACTTAAAAGTAGGATATATGACACAACGTTCTTTCACTTAACCAGGTGCGGACCGAAACGATTAGTGAAAGTGATGGAAGGCCCATTCACTTCTTCGTATAACAATACAGATCAAACGATTCCGGTTGTATGACATTTTTTCATCTATCAGCCGGAGTAATGCGGCTGTATATCGTCCCAAAATATCACAATGTGCACATAGGTGTTAAACTCCAGCATCGACGAACTCAGGGCAAAGATTGAAAATTCAGAGTGATATTGCTGCCTATAACTTTGAATGTTCTTATCTAGACTGTTTCAGATCTATTTGAACAAGGCCTTGGTAAGTAAATGGTGCCGGAGGCAATAAGAAGGCTGAATAAATGGGGCTCTGCTTACGCATTATCTCGGTGTATTCCACATTTATTCTCAGGTTTTGGCCTACAGGCTTACCTAACTCTGTATTACTTATTGATATAACTTGAAACGATTTATCAGAACACAAAGACGCGCGCTTGTTTTTACAATAGGCTGCTGCTTGAAAGTAGACAAGTGATACGAGTGTCAAATGAGTTAATTTACCTTAAATGAGCGTTCCTTAGGGGGTCAGATTCTTGCGTAATACCACGTTTTCCTGTGAAGCTGGAAGCTGGAGAAGCTGTAGAATCGGTGGTTTACAACGTCTTTGTACAGTCGCCATGTTTTTTCCGTATGTTTTGGATGTGAAAGACAAAACCAAACATTTTTAGATATTGTAGATGCTGAAGGTGCTTCGTCCATAAAAATTCAATACTCACTGCCTCGTCCTGACTAGGCTGCTTTCTACACAGCCCCAAACTGTTATATAAAGTTGTTTTGAAATCTCTGCTGTTCTCCTTCACTTGACGAAACAAAATACTCAGAAAATTAAACTCAAAAACCTAATTTGCGAACGTATTACTATGAACATCTGTGAATAATGTAGCATACCACTAAGACAACCAGCTGTGGTGCAATTTTCATTCCTTGTAACAACGTGCGTTCCCATCAAAACTGCGCAAAGACAAGAACCTGTATTTTCAGTAAGAAAATTATCTGGCAACTTGTAAGCACATAGCTATTTGGGAATGTATCCTTGCATTAGACACTCTTGTCTGAAAATCATAGTTGAAAGCACTGATTTGTTCGCGATGCATTTCTTGAGCCCGGAATCCAATCTACGTTTGAATGCAAATAGAGTAAACTGAGAGCCTTGGTGATCACTGGTGTTACTGCGTATACGAAACAAGACATAATTAACACGGTGTGTCTTTGTGCCGCCATACACTTGCACATTTTATTATTATGGATTTTCTGCGTAAATTTGAAGCCAGTTCTCTCTTAATTCTTTTCAAAGTCTTACTGCGATTCAAAGAAGTGAGCCGTTTGCAACTCGTCCCAATTACAGTTATGAACTATTCATTGTCGCCAATTACACGGGCAATAATTATACCACAGGGGGCTCGGACAGTTCCTATGGGTCACCTTTAAAAGATTAGAGTATTTTAGCCTTACCAGTTCGATTTCGTAAGCTGTTTCCTAGTCAAGAAGATTCAAAACAAATGTTGATTTTCCCCTATTAGATTGCACACACCTAACCATGTGAAAACCTCGTTCAAAATATGGTCAACATTTAACATGTTTCCTACGTAGTCACGTTTGACCTTTCGTCGAATAGGTATTGCTCTCACTGGAATTTTGTCGTCTTTTATTCAGACTAGAAGATCGAAGTCGATATGATGTTCCTGGATGTCTGCTCTCTTTTTGTTTTGCAGCCAGAAGCTCTGCGTCAGTAAATAACATTGGTAAATATTGCCCAAAAAGGGATAGGTATTGAAAGACGTTTTTGAAAAGAAAGCGGCATACACCGTTGGTCAATCACATTAAGTTTATCCACACGCAGCTATGCAGTCTCTTCTGAAATTACCAACGCTCTGATTATGTGTTTAAACAGCTTTTACATGGTAAGTGCTATTGTACTTTTGCAAACAGCTGGTTCGCCGTCTGATCTCTAATGCATAGTACAATACAGTGCCTGCACAGTGCAGACTGTGTGCAGTGATTTGAAAAACCCCGTATATTTACTGTTATTATGGTTTCTTTGGGTGTTGTCCCCCTCTGTCATGGGTTTGGAGTTCGCTAGGGATCATCATTATACCTCAGATTGTAACCGACAAGTTCTCCTCCTCGGTTTTAGGCGTGATTGTTAATTCTTTATAACTTTCCTGATATTAAATAGGGCCGTCATCCATCCAGCAAGTAAATATGTCCCTAACAAATTTGAAAATTTATTCTAGATGTCTAAATTCGGCATGAAATAGTGCCTTTTGCATGCTACCGCTCAATATTTATCCAGAATACCAAATATGGTGTGTTTATATTAGTTTTTTGGCCGGTGTATGTGAGACTTCGTCATGTCTACTAATTGGTTTGCGTCATGCGGGGAAAAATAGTATATGTGGTTTGGACTGATCAAGGTATTTTTGTGTGCACCAGAAGCACCGACAATGTTGATTGACTTGTCTGCACGACCCAAGTACCTGGGACTTTGAGGTTTACTAGGAATGAACGTTTAGTTAGAAAATGTGTGCACACACAAGGTATTCGTCAGTTCGGGGTCAGTGTGAACCAGTTAGACAACCCACTCGCGCGGATGCTCCGTCAGTACTCTTCATTGGCAAGTTGGCTCTAGGACATGCGTGCAAGTACTTGACTTGGAACCGTTGGTGATATAATTCGCGGTTTTTGTTTAGCTTGATTTATCAAAAGAATATGACCAGTATGGATAAAACCCATAGACGTTTGCAGGTATACTCATTTCTGGAATTGAGTGCAACCCTTGCCGCGCTCAAAATATCGCACTAATATACACAGGAAAAACTGCATCCACGTAAATAGGAATCTGGCATTTTGGGGTTGTTCAAATAACGTGTTGATAGATTTGGATTTAGCCTGTTTCCCAAATAGCTTTGTGAACTTGTTTTTGGGATAACTTTATAATATTTCGTTTAACTAAATCGCGAAACATTTCTCCACATCCTCTCATTGTAAACCACTGACTTTTTCATTTTGTTACTGGCCACGTTAGTACAGCGTGACAGCGTGACGGCAGGAAAGCTTAAGTTATTGAAGATTTACACCTCGGTCTGAACGTTCAAGTAGCTTAGTGCTAATTACGCGCCTATACAGTGAATCTTCCCGGTACCACGGATAATTCCAAAGTTAGCCCTCTCCTATGGAAGCCCACTACAAATCGGGTAACTTGAGTTTTCCGTCTTTTGCACAGTCAGAAGACTTCTATCAAACAATGAGTTAATAGTATTTCTGTTCAAAGTAGAGATGTTAATATATCGGTGTACTGAACATGAGGCGCAAACACGGAGGTCGTTTTCGTAGGTAATACCCACTGGTATTCTAATTATCTATCTAGCTCTTGTGAAATAAACGCCACTCAATATTTCTTTTGACGGGGTCATGTACATGTTCCTCACCACCCACGAAGCACTAAGCATTGAATTATTTTCTGGTTTCTGGCAATTAACGGTACAAGAATTCTATGATTCTGCCTGCCCCCTGCTTAGGTGGCTACATTTTTTGCACCTATTACAAAAAAACCGGCATTTTCTATTGCCAAACAATTATTCGTATGAGGTCTACCGATGACTGATGATATGGACGTTGACACATCGTATGTGGTTTGGTGTAATTGGGTTAAATCTTCACTGGAAGAGTGGCCTTGGTTTACCAAACAATCTACCAAGCTTGTACCACGTTGTTTGCCACGTGGCATTCCTGAAAAT